GGTTCAAAATTCAAAAACCTCTGTTTAATTAATCCCAACAATCAAACACCTAGGTAACAAACAAACATTAGTCCCTATAACCATCATTTTCCTATATCAAATCCAACATCAAATAGAGTAATCCTCCATTTATTTCGCCCCTACCGAAAACACCATTATTTTACACACAGACTCTCTCTCTCGCTGTTCCCCATCTTTTTCTATAAAACCCACCAACCTCTCTCTCTCTCTCTCTCTCTCTCTCTCTCTACCTCACCAAACTTAACTCTCATACCCACATGCTAGTCTCCTCTATTATTCCATTTCGAAGAAGGATTCTTCTTGCTCCCGAATCCCCTCTTAGCTTCTTCATTCCTTAAAGGCCCATTTACAGTTTCTCTTGATGAGAGAGAAGAGACCTGAAGCTTTGTAATGGGTATGATGAGCTCAATGAGGCTGTCTCTGCTGCTGCTTCTTGCTCTCAAATGGGGTTTCATCTTTGTGCCTTCTCACTCCTTTTTATACAATGAGGGTAGGTTTTTCTTTTTCCTTTTTTGGTTTGTACTGTTTTAATTTGCTTTGGTTTTTGCGGTTTTTTAAGGGGGATTCAAATTGTTGTTTGTTCTATGATTTCATGAAATTGGGCACTTGCATTTTGGTCCCACAACGAAATTTTGATGTAATCATGAAATGGGTTGTTTGAAAATTTTCAGTTTGTTTAGTTAATATTGCTCTTTGTCACTTTTATCCGTATATGGGTGTCGTTATTTTTGCTCAATTGCTTTCACAAGAAAAACATTGAGGGCTAGGCAATTTATGTGGTCTTTTGAGTATTGACCCTCTCAACTTCAGAAATTGTTACAACTTTTTTCTTTGGGTTATGAACTTTGATCTACATGCTTCGGAGCTTTTTTTTATTCTTATCATTACAGGCTAGCAGGTTTTGAGTATTCCCATTGTGAGATCTTTTCTGGATCTCTGCATTTTCTTTTCCAGGAGAAACACTACATTAAGGAAATATTCAGATTCTAGATTGCTAGATCATTCTATTGAAACGGATTGCTTGGCAACTTTGCAGTTTTGGCACTGAAAGCTATCAAGAAAGCTATATTTGAAGATCCACTCTCGGTTTTATCCGATTGGAATCCTGATGGAGATCCTTGCAACTGGTCTGGTGTTATTTGCTCAAAATATCATGATCATGTGCTTTCCTTGTAAGGCATATTTACCCTGTTTATTGCTAATTCCTCATATGTTATAGTTATAATCTGTATTTAACCTGACAAGGCTAGAATACATACGTATTTGCGCATGTTTGATGCTTGAACGGTCTAAAATTTGCACTATGTTTATGGTGTATCAAAGAATTTATCCATGTTTTGGTCATTCAAATTTTTTTTTTGTGAGTAGTGAAATTATAATCAAATCTCGGTACTGCAGAAATCTTTCCCATTCATCTTTAAAAGGATTTCTCGCACCGGAACTTGGCTCTTTGAGCTCACTACAAGAACTGTATGTTTCCCTTTACTCAACTGTAGTTTTACAATCTATTTATTAGTGTTGTTTAATTAGGTAAATTTCTAATTTTCAGAATTTTGGACAACAATTATCTCCTCGGCACAATACCCAAACAAATTGGTGAATTGAAAAACCTTACTGTGTTGGACTTGAGTGTGAATCGGTTCTCAGGCCCTATTCCTCCAGAGGTTGGAAACTTGACCAACATTAGGAAAATGTATGAAGTAAAAAGGCCCTAAGTTCTTACAATTTATATATCTTGTAATTGGTTGGTTGTTTCTTTTATTTAACTCCCTTCATCTTTCTCTCTTTTAGAAACCTGCAATCAAATGGCTTGACTGGTAACTTGCCCCCTGAGCTTGGTAAGCTGATGTCCCTTGTTGAGCTACGGTTAGATAGGAACAGACTCCATGGGCCTGTTCCTGGTAGCAACCAAGCAAACGTCTTTGCTAGTATGCATGGATTGTAAGTGATACTTTCTAATATTCTATTAGTTAAGAATTATTATATTCAGATTTTTGTTCTGTCAAGTTTTTGACCTCTGTAGTACAGCTTGGTTGTTTTTTTTCCCAAAACATCATGTTTTTAAGAAAGAGTTAATCCCATAAACTTAAGTGACATAGAGCACCTTTCTGATACTGAAACCTGATTTTTGCTTGAATAAAAAAAAGTTTATTACTATTGTTTGATCTATGATAGAACATAGAGTAGTGGAGGAGTTACACTTTTTTCTGGAAATTCTTTGCTGAGAAACAGGATATATGGTTCCCTTCAGCCATCTATATGTTTATATTTGTCAGTTGAATTGAAGAAGATAAGATCAAAGCTCTTGTCTTCCTTTTTGCATGATAATCATCATGCCCAGGACTGACGAGCTTGTTGGCGTAATGTAAGCCTTGGGACCCGGTGAGTGCAAAATGTTGTTAGGCTCATACTATTTGCCAAAGTAAATAAACATTTGTTGTTCTTGACTCTCATCATTTACGTTATAAACCTCTCCACATCTTTACAAGTTTCTGATGTGGGACAATTAAAGCGGGTCACCCTTATCACCCCAACTTAGATACGCAAAGTCCTCATGGCGGCATGTCAATGTTTCATATAAGATTCAGGATTCACGACTTGGCAATGTTGATCCTAGAGGTGGCTCTTATGGATTCTAGAGGTGACTCTCACCATGCTCGCATGATATAACACTCAAATCCCGGATAGCACTTAGTTCCACAGTTCCAGTTGGCTAACCGCTCAGATATCGTTTATCATGCATTGGGTCCGTGAGCCCAGGGGCACTATGTAAGCCTTGGGAGCCACAAAGTGCAACACATTGATTGGCTCAGAGTCTCAGACTACTGCCAAAATGACTAGCCATTTGTTGTTCTTTGACTCCCATGACTGACATTATAAACCCATCCATATCTTTACAAAGTTTCCAACGTGTGGGTTATCACAGTAATCATGATAGTTTATGATGATTAAAAAGTTTTATTTATTTGTACTGCATTAAGGTTCATGACACAATGCATGAGTGATTGCAAGTGTATTTACACCATGAGAAAGCCAGTATGCACGAAAGCATATGCATAGGACAGCTAAAAGCATTTTACGCTTCTTTCTAATATTAGAAGATTATATTATGAGTCTTTGGTAGTTTGGTTTTTTCTTATCTCTTTTATCGGTCCAGATCTGCCTCTCATACTAATAAAACCGGTCTTTGCTGGCTACCTGAGCTAAAAGTTGGAGATTTCTCATATAACTTTTTTGATGGAAAAATACCATCATGCTTGCTGCATCTCCCAAGGTATATTTTTTTACGAATTCAAGATTTAGCAATGTATATAATAGAATTTCAGTTCATCATTTTTAGTTCATATCTACAGATCAAGTTTCCAAGGAAACTGCTTCCAGGATAAACACTCTAGCTTGCAGAGATCTTCTCAAATGTGCAATGGTACTCTCAAGTCCTTTCATTCTTACAAATCTAATTCATTTTTTCATAAGCAATTGGCACTTCTTGGAGAAATCAAAGGAATATATTTCATTCGCTCTGAAGGTCTGATATTTTTCGATCACTTGAACTGGGATAAAATCTCGAGGATGTTAACTTGTTCATTCTAAAAATATTTTATCCAAATAATGAGTGTACGCATATACAAAATCATTGATTACCTGTTAATGTTTTTTTAAGCAATTATACTGTATACAAAGGGGAGCGGATTATCTTACTGCATCCGATACAAGAGACAACATATGTAAAAGTATAAAGAAACAAAATCAGAAAGTACCCCTCATGTTTGAAGATAGATGAGACTGTCTTGTTTTAAATTTATTTAAAATTGAGGCGGATCAAATTTAAACCTAGAGAAATATTGTTAACTTATAAGTATATCTTACATCTAGGTTTCACTTTTTGCTATCTCTTCTAATGATTCTAAATTGATGACGTGTTTTCTCACTGCAGGTGGTTCTGCCAAAAAACATGGAGGAGGAAAATATAAATATAAACATTTCAATGAAGAATCTAAGCGTCGGCAACCTGAATGGCTTCTAATAATGGAAGTTACAACAGGAGTTCTTATAATAGTTTTCTGTATCACTGCTACAATCACTGCTCTTATTAGATGCAGTGCGAAACCCTGTGCCAAAATCCCATGGAAAAAAACCACAAATTGGAAAGATCAGATGGCAGTCACACCTGGTAGTAACCTTATCATGTTCTCTCAAAATCTGATTATATGCACCATGGTATAATGAGTTTTTTTGATATTAGTCCCTTAATTCTTTCATATTTTGAAATTAGTCTCTCAAATCACTGAAATTGCTATTAGGTCCATCAATTCTTAAGTTATCTTGAACTTAGTCCCTCCAATCAAGAGCAGAAGTTGTAACTAGAGGGATTAATTTACAATAACTTATGAAAATTGGGGGATCTAGAAGACTAACTTCAAATTTGGGGACCTAATAGCAATTTCTATCATTTTAGGCACTAATTTCAAAATATGAAATATTTTAAGGGACTAATAGTGGACAGACCCTAGAAAGAAACTAAACGGTTGCAACTAACCATGGAGATGATAGTGAAGTGTATTATTAGGAACAAAGTCATAAACAAGTATTCTTTGGTTGCCAGCTATACAATAACCTACAAGGGAAACCAAAAAAATCTCGTATGTTGTTTCAAATTAATCCCTCTAATTGCTACTGTTGATGGGAGGGACTAATTTAAGAATAACTTAAGATTGGGGAACCTACTAGCAATTTCAATGATTTGAGGGATTAATTTCAAAATAACTTACGAATTGAAAAATGTAATCGCAATTTTTAAGATTTCTGGGAGTAATTTCAATATATAAAAGATTTAAGGTTCTAATATCGGGACCCTAGAATAATTCAGATCTAACAGATGCTTCTGAATGCAGATGGTGAGATGCTAAAGAATGTGTCAAAGTTTAGCCGGCAGGACCTTGAAGTAGCTTGTGAAGATTTCAGCAACATTATTGGCTCATCTCCAAACTGTATAGTGTATAAAGGCACTATTAAAGATGGGCTTGAAATTGCTGTCGTATCTCTTTGTATCTCAGAAGATCAGTGGACAAACTATTTTGACTTCTACTTTCAGACCAGGGTAACTAGCACATCCAAGTTGGGCTAGAATCACAAAGAAAAATCTGTGTAGCTAACTGAAGCTAACTCTTCACACTTCAGGTTGCAGATCTGGCGCGGATAAATCACGAGAATACTGCAAGATTACTTGGGTATTGCAAAGAGAGCGACCCATTGTCAAGAATGCTCGTCTTTGAATATGCATCTAATGGAACACTGTATGAGTACCTTCACTGTGAGTCAAAAGATCTTCGTTTGTCCTTTTAATTGATGTGTGCAAGGAATGTAACATAATTTTTTGTTTTAGATGGCGAGGGATACCAATTATCTTGGCTTAGACGCATGAGAATTGTATTGGGTATTGCTCGTGGGCTAAGGTACTTGCACACCGAGCTGCAGCCACCATTTGCGTTTTCCGAATTAAATTCAAGTACAGTTTACCTTACTGAAGACTTTTCTCCAAAGGTACGGTATATTCTTTAATGCAGAAAATGTGTTTACAATTCGTATAGTTTCAATGTTTCATCATCCATCATGTTTCTTATATTAGGTAAAGTAAATTAAATAAAATAGATAAGCTTGTCTGCACAGGTTGTTGATTTTGACAGCTGGAAAATGATATGTTCGAAATCCGAGAAGAATTATGGAGGTTCTCTTCATAGTTTCTTTGGCTCTTTTGGGCAGCGACAGATGGATATCCAGGGAAATACATTTTCATTTGGGGTTCTTCTACTAGAAATTATCAGTGGAAGGCCTCCTTATTGCAAAGACAGAGGTCGTTTAGTGGATTGGGTAAGGAATAAGCTTATTTACGTCTTAAATCATTTTCTACTCGCTAATTAGCACTTAAATACCTTATAGTTTATCCTAGTTTGCATTTATATATCCTCACTTGTTCTTTTGACAGAATTCATATACCCTGAATTTTTAAAATTTGCACTTTACCACTCCTTATCACATAAATGTTAATATACCTCCAAATATTGCGACGTGACATTCACAAGCTAATTTTGAAAAAAATTAAAGCCTTAATATTTATTGATTTTTTTGTTAAAACTAGTGGCATTTCATTTTAAAATAGAATTATGTTATGTAAACTTGAGCTCACCAGCTCATAATATCGTTACTGTATATGTCTGTGTATGTCTTTTATATCTAATAATTAAGCGATTAAAATTCTTCAGTTGTTGTGGATAGTAATACTTCGAATGGAAAGAATGACCTTCTAACATATTTAGAAACAAGGAAGGCCAACATGTTGATAATATTCATCTTACTATATATATTTCAGGCAATGGAGAATTTGCATCATCCAGAGGATATAATCAAGCTTGTAGACCCCGAACTGAAAAATGTCAAGCTCGATGACCTTGAAGTAATTTGTAGTGTTGTTAGCCTCTGCATTGAACCTGATCCCTCTAAGAGACCATCAATGCAAATAATAAGTGGAGTTCTCGAAAATGGAATTGACACTTCAGAGGATGCCATTTTGAGGGATTCATCTTTGGCCTGGGCAGAGCTAGCGTTATCGTCGTAGTTATAGTGTATTACACTGTAAATTTACAATATATGCATGAAATACCTTGTTTCATATTTTTTTTTCTCCTTTTTTTTGTTACTTGGGGTTTTACAAATGGATATCAGAGGCAAATTTTCTTGCATACGTTTGTTTGGTGAATTAACATTGAGATTGTTGTATAAAGGATAGTTTCTTGGTTTTCTGATTCTTACCATATTTCATTAGCTTTGTTCTTAGACAAGTTACTTATGAGAGTGATATTGAAAGTTGTAAATTATAAAGAACCATGTCTTGCTTCTTAATTCTCATGGTATTATGTTTTGTCTTTATGCTTCATTGCTCGTGTTGAAAATATTGGTTAGTGGAAACCTCATATTTGTGCGTAAGTAATATTTTATAAAGTTACAGAACATTGGGTTGAAAAGTTTCGCATTTGCATAGTAGAGAGTATTGATAGTGCCAATTTTAAATAACTAAAAATATAAAAATACTGCGAGAGCAAGTGAGGGTATAATCGCGTTGTGAGTGAAACTATGAGGTATCTAAGTGCTATTTAGCCAAAAAAAAAAAAACTCCTCGTTGCTCATGAAACAGTACTAGGAGATAAAAATGTACATTTATTTTTCCCCTAACAGCCTCGGACTCCACCTTCGATCCTCTATTCCTTTTCCCTCGTTTGCTTAGCGAACTTCTCCAATCCCAATCCCAGTGGAGATCCTCCATTTGTATTCGTCTCAGTTGACATCACCGAGATCGAAGACGACGCTGCCGAGGAGCGGCTCTAGCGGTGGTCGTGGTTGATGTGATTGAACTCAAGGAAGAAGAAAGAACAGATTTTTGAGGGGCTCCGGTAATGAGTAAGTGGGTTTTCTTTGATTTTCGTTGTATTTTCTCAAGGAGAATGATCCTCCTTATATAGGGGCTTAACCCATCATCTCTACCCCTCAGATCCGCCCCCATGAGAGATTTTCTCTCAACCACCCACGATTCACGTTCTCCACCATTCTCTCTACTGAGAATCGTTGATTTGGTCACCATGACCGAGTCAAACTAACATCTCCCACTTGACCAAATTAACCAAGTGATATGCCTCCCACTATCCGTGAGATCAGATGTTTCTGCTTACCATTACTCCCACTATCCGTAGAGAGTAACTATTATTTCATTATTCATGAAATTTTACTTGGACTTATTTATTCCTAAGTCCCATCAAACTTACGTGTTTGATAAAAAATTCCGCTGGTATTCCTTTTATCAAAGGATCAGCAATCATATCTGTAGTAGGGATATACGTCACTTTGACTTCTTCCTTTTCTACAATATCTCGAATATAGTGATATTGGATCTCAATATGTTTTCCTTTGGAGCTATTCGCGCCACTATTGATTAAGCTAATTGCTGCTTGATTATCACAATAAATATCAATAGGTCCTTCTAACAAATTGAGATCAAGATCAATCAAAAACCGTCTTATCCAGACAGCATGTGTAGTTTCCATACTGCAAGCTATATATTCAGCTTTTTGCGTATATCTAGCAACACATCCTTGTTTCTTGCTACTCCAAGAAACAGCCCCTCCTCCAAAGATGAATAAGTGTCCCGAAGTGGATTTTCCATCATCTTTATCACCTCCGAAATCAGCATCGGAATAACCGAGGAGTTCAAGCGAATCGGCTTGATAAACTAATCTATGAGTCAATGTACCTCTGATATACTTCATAATCCTTTTAACAGCTTCCCAATGTGCTGGTCCTGGATTACTTTGATATCTACTGACTAGACTCACAGCATAAGCTATATCAGGTCTGATGCACAACATTGCATACATCAAGCTTCCAATTGCTTGAGCATAAGGAACATCTAATGGCTTCTGCCCTTCTCCAGGGCTTTGTTCTTTACATAATCTCTTTCCCATAACCAACGGAGTTGGTGCCGGATTGGAATTATCCATTCCAAACCTTTTAAGAACTGCTCTTAAATATTTTTCTTGGTTTAAACTTAGCATTCTAGACTTTCTATCTCGAATTATTTGAATTCCAAGAATATATGATGCATCTCCCATGTCTTTCATCTCAAACTTTTCCCTGAGATCTGCCTTGATTTTATTCAATATTTCTATGTTATTTCCAGCGAGCAATATATCATCCACATATAATAATAATATAGTAAACTTGCTCTCACTTTTCAAGACATATACACAATTATCTAATTTATTTTGAATAAAACCAAGTTTAGTAACTGCATTATGAAATTTGAGATACCATTGTCTAGAAGACTGTTTTAAACCATATAGAGATTTCATTAATTTATAAACTTTTATCTGAAAACCTTCAGGTTGTTGCATATATATTGCTTCCTTCAACTCTCCGTTAAGGAATGCAGTTTTAACATCCATTTGGAATAACTCCAAATCAAGATATGCAACAATAGCCAAAATAATTCTAATGGATGCAAATTTAGCTACAGGAGAATACGTCTCCTGAAAATCTATTCCTGCCTTTTGGTTATAACCTTTGGCAACTAACCGTGCTTTGAATTTATCAATAGATCCATCAACACGATATTTCTTTTTGAGCACCCATTTGCATCCTATGGCTTTTCTATTTTCTGGTAGATCACATAACTCCCATACCTTATTCTTTTCTATAGAATCAAGTTCTTCTCTCATAGATTCTAGCCATAAAGCTGATTCATGCGATTTCATCGCATCAGAAAAGGTTAAGGGATCTTGTTCTTCTACATTTGTATCTACCGAGAAACAGAATAGCTCACATGAATACAAATAGTAATCATCCATCCATAAAGGTTGTGTTCTTAGCCTCTTGTTGCCTACAACCGGTTGATTAGGTACATTATTTTCCATAGGTATTTTATCATTTTCAAGGTTAGGTTCATTCACAATATCAGAGTCATTAGTGGGAACAACACTGTAATAATCATCATCTATTACAGTTAGAGGTTCTATTTCCTCTTGAACTTGTTCCTCTTCCTCTAGATTCTCTAGAAATGTAGCATCTCTGCTTTCAATGACTCCTTTTTCTTTATTATAGAACTTATAACCTTTTGACTTTTCTGAATACCCTATGAATCTACACTTTATTGTTTTAAAATCCAACTTATCTTTAAGTGGACATGGAATAAGAACATGGGCTATAGATCCCCACTTCCTGAGATGACTCAAATTAGGTTTCCTCCCATTCCATAATTCATAAGGTGTAGATACAACTGATTTGGTGGGAATTCTATTTAAAATGTAGTTTGCAGTTAACAATGCTTCTCCCCAAAAGTTTTTAGAAAGACCAGAATGAGACAACATGCATCTAACTACATTTAATAATGTTCTGTTTTTTCTTTCAGCAACACCATTCTGTTGTGGCGTATATGGCATTGTCGTATGCCTTTTAATTCCATGCTGAATACAATAACTTTCAAATTCTTTAGAATTATATTCTCCACCTCTATCAGTTCTCAGAATTTTGATTTTCAATCCAAGTTGGTTTTCAACTTCTGTCTTATATCTCTTAAAGCAGTCAAAAGCTTCTAATTTTCTAGATATAAGATAGACGTGTGCAAACTTGGAATAATCATCTATAAAAGTAATAAAATATTCTTTATTACTATGAGTTTTGACACTTAGGGGACCATAAATATTCGAGTGTATCAATCCTAAAAGTTCATTGGCTCTTTGTCCACCAATAAAAGGTTTTCTGGTCATTTTACCAGTTAAACAATGTTCACATGGTGGCAATTGAACATTAGATAGTGCAGGAAGCAAGTTCATTCTGATAATTTCTTTCATTTTTGAAATACTAGTATGTCCTAATCAAGAATGCCACAATTCAGACTCAGAAATATAATAGGACAAGTAGTTCAAATTCGAAATTTCATTATTAGAATTATTATAAACTACTGGAAGAATGCAAAATTCATGCTCGGACACATATTTTCCCATAGCATACACTTTATTATTCTTGCCTATAGAAACCATGTTATTATAGAACCTAACTTCCAGTCCTTTCTTCATCAAGCTGGGAACAGAGATTAGATTGCACCGAATTCCTGGCGTATAGAACACATCTTTGAGGACAAGAATGTTGTCCCTAAGATCCAATCTATATGAACCAATACCTTCTACATCAAGATAGGTATTATTTCCCATATAGATTCTCTGTTCTCCTTTCTTAAGCTCGGTGAATTCTATGACTCCTTTCGTGTCCTTTGCGATATGCCTAGTTGCACCGGAGTCGATCCACCAACCACTAATATCCGTCATCAGAGCATTACATTCTGTCACACCGACGAATTTTCTTTTGCTAGTACCCCTTATTCTGGATGCTTATAGCCTCCCTTATTCTCCTGCTTTTCACCTTGTGGGCAATTGGGCTTGAAATACCTGAACTTTCCACAATTGTAGCAGGCTCCGTAAGGTACTTTCTTTCTCTTGAACTGCTGCGATTTCGGTCCTCGCGGTTGTGGTTTACTAGGACCAGGGTTTTTATAGCTTCCAGTATTATGCCTCTGGCGGACATAATTCAGCTCCTGCTGCATCATATTCAGTTCTGGTTCCTTCCTACTGGCTATTAAGTCATGTTCTATCGCTAGGTGCATAGGAAGATCAGTGACAGACTTAATGGCAGGATTCATTATTAATGTGGTGGCAGCCACAGCAAGTGAAGGGGGAAGACTATTCAAAATGGTTGCCACTTGCATTCTTTCTGAGATTTCGGTCCCAGCAGTGGATAAGTCCTTAGCCATGACAATCATTTTATTTATATGTTCTACGACATTATCTCCCTCTTGCATACGACAAGAATTATACTTATGCAAGAGGAGTTGAATGTTAACTTCAGAAGCAGTGTCGTATTTTTCTTTTATTGCATGCCACATGTCCATGGAAGTTTTATAAGTTTCAAAAACTTTGATTAAATTATCTTCCATGAACATGAGCATAAGGCTTTTCGCCTTTTTGTCTTTCGACTTCCACTGCTCAAACCCTTTCTTTTCTTTAGTTGTTGATTTATCAGTAAGGGTTGGAGCAGTGGTTTCGATTACATCATTAATGTTGTCATGAATAAGAGCATATCCTATTTTTCTATGCCACATATCATAATTACTACCATTAAATTTGTTAATTTTTCCTAGTTCCGATAGAACAAGTTTACTAGCCATTCGGTAAAGAACTAAAACTAAATTCAATTTTAAAATATGTATAAGGTTGATATTTTGACAATTATACTAAAATATAATAAAGCTAAATAAATAAATGAATAAAAATGACCTGACT